TACCTGCTGCGAGAGTACCTTGTTGCAGGACTACACTGCTGCGAGAGTACCTTGTTGCAGGACTACACTGCTGCGAGAGTACCTTGTTGCAGGACTACACAGCTGCGAGAGTACCTTGTTGCGGACTACACTGCTGCGAGAGTACCTTGTTGCTGGACTACACTGCTGCGAGAGTACCTTGTTGCAGGACTACACTGCTGCGAGAGTACCTTGTTGCAGGACTACAACTGCTGCGAGAGTACCTTGTTGCAGGACTACACTGCTGCGAGAGTACCTTGTTGCAGGACTACACTGCTGCGAGAAGAACCTTGTTGCAGGACTACACTGCTGCGAGAGTACCTTGTTGCAGGACTACAACTGCTGCGAGAGTACCTTGTTGCGACTACACTGCTGCGAGAGTACCTTGTTGCTGGACTACACTGCTGCGAGAGTACCTTGTTGCAGGACACACTGCTGCGAGAGTACCTTGTTGCAGGACTACATGCTGCGAGAGTACCTTGTTGCAGGACTACAACTGCTGCGAGAGTACCTGTTGCAGACACGCTGGCGAGAGTACCTTGTTGCGGACTACCTGCTGCGAGAGTACCTTGTTGCAGACTACACTGCTGCGAGAGTACCTTGTTGCAGGACTCACACTGCTGCGAGAGTACCTTGTTGCTGTAACTACACTGCATGCGAGAGTACCTTGTTGCAGGACTACACTGCTGCGAGAGTACCTTGTTGCAGGACTACACTGCTGCGAGAGTACCTTGTTGCAGGACTACACTGCTGCGAGAGTACCTTGTTGCAGGACTACACTGCTGCGAGAGTACCTTGTTGCAGGACTACACTGCTGCGAGAGTACCTTGTTGCAGGACTACACTGCTGCGAGAGTACCTTGTTGCAGGACTACATTGCTGCGAGAGTACCTTGTTGCAGGACTACACTGCTGCGAGAGTACCTTGTTGCTGGACTACACTGCTGCGAGAGTACCTTGTTGCAGGACTACACTGCTGCGAGAGTACCTTGTTGCAGGACTACACTGCTGCGAGAGTACCTTGTTGCAGGACTACACTGCTGCGAGAGTACCTTGTTGCTTGATCTCAGGTCTCACTCTGGCATCTTGAGTGCAACTTCCTGAGTAGTCGTGGAACTTTTTTTTGTAAACACCCCTAGAACTTTTAGTGAGAACTGGAACTTTTAATGAACACCCTCTGGAACGTTGTGAACACCCCCTGGAACTTTTTGTGAGCACTCCTGGAACTTTTTGTGAGCACTCCTGGAACTTTTTGAGGACTCCTTTAACTTTTTGTGAGCACTCCTGGAACTTTTTGTGAGCAGTCCTGGAACTTTTTATGAGCACTCCAGGAACTTTTTATGAGCACTCCTGGAACTTTTTGTGAGCACTCCTGGAACTTTGTGAACACCACCTGGAACTTTTTGTGAGGACTCCTGGAACTTTTTATGAGCACTCCTGGAACTTTTTATGAGCACTCTTGGAAATTTTTATGAGGACTCCTGGAACTTTTTATGAGCACTCCTGGAACTTTTTATGAGCACTCCTGGAAATTTTTATGAGGACTCCTGGAACTTTTTATGAGCACTCCTGGAACTTTTTGTGAGGACTCCTGGAACTTTTTATGAGCACTTCTGGAACTTTTTATGAGCACTTCTGGAACTTTTTATGAGCACTCCTAGAAATTTTTATGAGGACTCCTGGAACTTTTTATGAGCACTCCTGGAACTTTTTGTGAGGACTCCTGGAACTTTTTATGAGCACTCCTGGAACTTTTTATGAGCACTCCTGGAACTTTTTATGAGCACTCATTGAACTTTTTATGAGCACTCATTGAACTTTTTATGAGGACTCCTGGAACTTTTTATGAGCACTCCTGGAACTTTTTATGAACACTCCTGGAACTTTTTATGAGCACTCCTGAAACTTTTTATGAGCACTCTTGGACCTTTTTGTGAGGACTCCTGGAACTTTTTATGAGGACTCCTGGAACTTTTTATGAGCACTCCTGGAACTTTTTATGAGCACTCCTGGAACTATTTATGAACACTCTTGGAACTTTTTATGAGCACTCATTGAACTTTTTATGAGCACTCCTGGAACTTTTTATGAACACTCCTGGAACTTTTTATGAGCACTCCTGGAACTTTTTATGAGCACTCTTGGACCTTTTTGTGAGGACTCCTGGAACTTTTTATGAGCACTCCTGGAACTTTTTAGGAGCACTCCTGGAACTTTTTATGAGCACTCCTGGAACTTTTTATGAGGACTCCTGGAACTTTTTATGAGCACTCCTGAACTTTTATGAGCACTCCCTGGAACTTTTTATGAGCCACTCATGGAACTTTTTATGAGCACTCCTGAACTTTTATGAGCACTCCTGGAACTTTTTATGAGCACTCCTGGAACTTTTTATGAGCACTCCTGGAACTTTTTATGAGCACTCCTGGAACTTTTTATGAGCACTCATGGAACTTTTTATGAGCACTCCTGAAACTTTTTATG